ATGGCGAGATACCATTATCTCAGATAAAATGAAGCTTTGCTTTAGCATACTTGAAATATTTTGCCACTGCTGTTTCTTCTCCACAGCTCTTCCATAGCTGCAAGCAATCTCTAAGGCATTTAATTTACTGTGACTTTGGTTTTTTCTTTCCCAAGGAATCTCAGATCTGGTTCTCTTGTTAGTGGAGTAAAGAAATGGGAGAAGGAAAGAAATGCTGAATGAGCCTTTTCTTATTACAAAATAGATTACTGCTTCTTTCAGCTAGGGCTTGCAGAGTTTGGAAAAGGTGTGCAATGAGTCAGAGAGTTGGCCAGTTGGTGAGTGATTCCACTGCAGTCTAGGCCTTAGCTCTCAACCTTGCAGGCTAAGAAACAGATTCTTAGGGATGCAAGTTGAAAAGGATTGACTATAAAATCATATTGCAAATATATTAACTTACAACAATAAAAATAACTGTAATGATAACAGCTAGTATTTCTTGAGTGCTTTATAGAAATTCATGTGTCAGATATCAAGCTAAGTACATTTTAGATTTGTTAACAGATTTCCTGGGTTGATTTCAATCTCTGCCATCTACTACCCTGTGGTCTTGGACAAATTCCTTAACTTTGTGCAAATTACTTGCCTTATTTAATAGGGTGATAAGAAGAATGCCTGATACATCACAAGTACTCTATTTGCCACTAAAATTCACTCTCACAACACACCTATAAGGTAGGAACCATTACTATTCTCCTTTTATGGTGTGAAAATGAATATTTAGTGATGTTAAATAATGTGCTAAACATTCCATAATTAGTAAGTAGGCAACTGAAATATAATCAGGACAAGGAAACAAAATCAAATGTTTAGGTCTCCAGGCTTAGAGAATACTTCTATTCACCTTCTCGACTGGGAAGGTCTTTCAATAAGATTATCTTCCTTTAAAGTCTGCTGACCATGTCTGTTCTGAGGGATAGTTCTCAGAAAAAAAGGATTGCCAACATTTACTCTGGGACCTCCCTTTTTTCATGCCGTCATAACTGATGCCCCACTCAGCCTGAGGGATACAACATTCATAGTGCTCCCAAATATTGTGCCAAACAGTGCCATCAGATAGAACTTTCTGTGATGAAGGAAATGTTCTAGATCTACTTCGTCCAATACGGTAGCCACTATTCACGTGTGGTTATTGAATGTTTAAAATGTGACTGGTGTGACTGAGGAACTGACTCTAATTTAATTTAATTTAATTTGAATAGCCTGATATGGTTTGGCTCTGTGTCCCCACCCAAATCTCATCTCAAATTATAATCCCCACATGTTGAGGGAGGGACCTGGTGGCAGGTGATTGGATCATGGGGGTGGTTTCCCCATGCTATTCTCATGATAGTGAGTGAGTTCTCACGAGATCTGGTTGTTTTATAAGTGTATGGTGCTTCTCCCTTCCTACTCTCTCTACTGCCGCCTTTTGAGGACATGTTTTGCTGCCCTTTCACCCTCTGCCGTGATTGTAGGTTTCCTGAGGCCTCCTCAGCCATGTAGAACTGTGAGTCAATTAAACCTTTTTTCTTCATAAATTACCCAGTCTTGGATAGTTCTTTATAGCAGTATGAAAAGAGACTAATAAATAGACATACATAGCTAGTGGTTACTGTTTCAGACAGCAGATATATTCAGGAAAAAAAATCAATTTTTAGGGAAAAAATAATATGAGGCAATTGATCATCCCTAAGAGAAATGCAAAGGTACCCAATCTGTCTTGTTATGAGAACATTCTGTGTGAATTTCACTCAGCAACAAGGGTTTCCTGGGTCAACTAAATAATCCTGCTCATTTCTTATCTAGTATAGATGTTTCTGAGGGCAACCGACAGGTCCGTTTATTTTGGCCAGTGAAAAACTCAGTGGAGAATTCTTGAAATGAAAATTCTGAATCATTCGTCTAGCTTCATATCCTTTGGGTAGCTCTTTCACCTATGATCCTCTCAGGGCAAGGATAGCTCTGGGATTGTGAGGAGGGGAGAATGAGGTCAGAAGTAAACTGAGAACTGAAAATGGTTTTGCAGATGGCGACCGTTGATCAAGAAGGTTAAACTGAAATATACCTATAGACCACCACTCTTTTCCTCTTTCTTGGTAATTACAGCAAGTGTACCTTAGTTTTTCCACCACGGGATTTTGAGTCAGAAGACCTGGGTTAAAGTCCCAGCTTCATACCTTACTAATGGCATGACTATAGACAAATCATTACCCAGCCATCCCATTACTGGGTATATACCCAAAGGATTATAAATCATGCTGCTATAAAGACACATGCACACGTATGTCTAACATAGTGACACCCTGTCTCTACGAAAATGCAGAAAAAATTAGCCGGGCGTGGTAATGGGTGCCTGTAGTCCCAGCTACGCGGGAGGCTGAGGCAGGAGAAGGCGTGAACCAAGAGGCGGAGCTTGCAGTGACCGAGATCCCGCCACTGCACTCCAGCCTGGGGACAGAGTGAGACTCCATCTTAAAAAAGAAAAACGTACCTAAGACTGGGTAAATTTATAAAAAAAAGTGTTAATGGATTCACAGTTCCACATCTTGGGAGACCTCACAATCATGGTGGAAGCTGAAAGGCATGTCTTTTTTTTTTTTTTTTAGACAGAGTCTCGCGCTGTCGCCCAGGCTTGGAGTGCAGTGCCCAATCTCGGCTCACTGCAAGCTCCGCCTCCTGGGTTCAT